GGTACTTCACAATGATCTTGATCTTCCTCAAGCCTCATTTCCGTTAGAAATAGTATGATAGTTAAATCAAAACCATCTCTTATACATAGATTTCTGAAACTTTCATAATAATATTTTGATAGTGTTGAGATTTTTTTGAAAAAAAATCAGATTATTAAACTTGCAGCTTGATACCACTACAGTGAAACTTACAGTTGGCACCACTTTCAGAATCCACACATCACAGTCATCTACATTAAGCAAATGGTGTTAACCATTTGTCACTACCATAACAGCCAATTATGAAGGCATTGCTTGCAATGTATTGAACTTTGAATTCAGCACTTAGTGATTTAAAATATCTGCTATTTTCGGGAAATGTCATGTAATCAAGCTGCTTCAATAAGCTGTTTTCGCACAATTTACAGCTAAGGAGAAACCCAGATAGTGGAGATGTTGTGAATATTCAATCAGCTGAAATTACTATTAACAAGAATGCCCCCACTGTTCTGTTGTATTACCAGGAATTTCTCAAATGTTCACAATTTGCCAATCTGACAATTTGAACTCGTGTCCTCTGAATTGTTAGTCCAGTTCCATAAACACCTGGCTACTGTACTGCTGCACAAGGACTCCCTTGTTCTATTTCTGATTAGTGTCCTGGGATCATTTACATCCACCTTATCCGACCGACATGGTCTCTAGTTAACATTTCAACTGAAAGACTGCATCTCCAACAGCACAGCACTGAAGTAGAAGCTGAGATTGTATATTCAATTCTCTAGAGTGAGGCATGAAACCAGAATCGATTGAAGGAAGCGTGTGCTCACATTGAGTGAGGTCTGACATATAGAATGATTCTATTATAGAAAAAAAAGCATGAAACCAAATATGGTATTTAAACTTTAGCAGAAGCACAAGGTATTCCACTTAGTATACCATTCTGAAAAGATTGCCTTTCCTTTTGAGTTTTTTTTTAGATTTAATATTGGAGTTATCTTACATAGAGAACATTGCCAAGGGTAGGCTGTGGAAATGTTGCTTTAAGAAGTGGGCAAGGAAGCAGTAAGAAAGGTATATTTAATTGCTAATCTTCTGCAAGATTTGAAGTGTTTTGCACCCTGTTCAACAGTCTTAAGGGTAAGGAAGTTGACACTCAGAACTTCCTAGTGAGTGATATTTTTAAACTATCATGGTGGCAGGTGTCTGTGCATCCTGGGTTTGGTGTCATCCAGAGGGCCTTTAGGTCTAAATGAGTGAAGTTTTGAATTTCATTTCTTTTCTCTGGTTTTGTTGCATTGGTCAGCTCCTTCTGGTCCAGATAGTAATAATCTACAGAATAATGACTGAGACATGCACAGAAGCCGCAACATAGTGTGCCATTAAAGACCAAATAAGTAATATTCTCTTAGTTGTTTGTACACAAATCCCCCGAAGTGTTGGCCAAATTTTCACTCTCTAAAGGCTGCGTACATCAGTTTACACAGGTATTAAGCCAATTACTTTGCAATGAGAATTCAAATAAACAAGTGTATGAACACCAGCACAATTCCATTTACTTTATACCAGCAAGCACATTTTTTTTAACAAGGCTAATGATGATGAAAATAACTTTGACAATATCTGAAGCCCATTTTGTCCAATGGAACATTCTGGGCTGTGATTTATCAGTACACTCTAAGCTACTATGTCTCTTATGAATTTTGTTTTGCCCATATTAAATATTTTTGATTTAGTAGCAAAAGTTTAATTTAAACTTTAAATTAGCACGTTCTTATTTCTTGTGCAGTAAAAATATTTTACTCAGAAGAACATAAAAATGTTATGTTCTGTGAAACACACCTAATTTATTTTCCATGCTGGTGCATGCCAAATATAATCACATTGGCTTCGTGTTATGACGGAAGGTGATATATCTCTCCCATCAGTCTCAGAACATTTACTTTTCATTAACAGTTAAATGCATACATGAAACATATTTGAAAGGGTTCAGTGCATTCCTTTTCTGGAATTGTACTTTACGTTGATGAATTGATGCAATCAAAGCGTTACAAACTGAGGGTGGAAACCGGCATGTCGCTTTTGTGGCATGTTGTAATAGCCAGACAGCAATTTAAAATCTACCAGTATGTAATGTTACCACATAACTAGGTACATTCTTGTTCATTTTTACTTAACTGTTTAAAAGCCAACAACAATACAGCAGTGATTTATGTTTGTTTCGCTTGATCATTTCTAACATAACAGTTTTTCTTCCATTGCTTGTCTTGTTTTCTCTTAGCTCATCGTGCGCATGACTCTCAAGCCATTTCCACTGAACATCTGACCACAAAAATTCCCTCTCTAGACTCCATGTAAGCTGACTTTTCAGATGGCTCCCCCATGTTAGAAGCAGTCCCTGTCCCCTTTAAAACTGATATCACAATCCCTCTCCTCAAAATAAACCACACTTGACCCTTTTGTCCTTGAAAAGTAACATGCCATCTGAAACTTTCTTTCCTCACCATTGTCCTTAAATATGTTGTTGTTTTACAAATCTCTGTTTCATCTGTTCACTATGCCATGTTTGAGATCTGTCCATCAAATTTTCCTCCTCCAAAAATAGTCCAAATCAAATTATGAATACCAATCTTCATAATTGTTTTGCTATGAATTATTTCTCCTTGTCCACATTCACCTCAATGCAACATTGAAACAATTAACTATACCATTATATTGAAATGCCTTTCCTCCATTGTCTAATTTAGTTGGACCATGTTTGCTCATCTTGAGGTTTGGCTATCTAATTGAAGCCAGTTTAGGGCCTAATGAGGCAGTGGTACTATCTCTCCCTCTGGGCCAGACGTCCAGAGTCAAAGCCCACTAGGTCAATAGGTGTAATGTAACATTTCTGAAAAGGTTTATTAATATAAGTGTATTTACAAATGACTTCTTTTGTCATTCCTGCACTTTGACCATGGCAATCTCCTATGGATCAGTCAATAAACTTGCTCAATTCATGCTTACTTTTGACAACTCCATTCGTGGACTTAGAGTCAATGACGAGAAACAGTTCTTCCTTTCGGTCATCTCTGTGGATTTTCTACTATTGCTACGCTGTCAGACTACTTATCAGACATGTATTATTGAATCAGCCACTATTTCATCCAGCTAAAGTGATCTTTTTGGCTTCTTGCATAATCCCCATTTATTTTCCAGTGACTCCAATTCTTTGCTAGACTATTAAATCCATCAGAAATGGACTGCATCTTCAAAACGTTAGCATTAGTTTGCCCTGAAATTGAGATTGCTGCTGTATTTCCTCTCCATCACAAACACAAGTATTTCTCCCTCCATAATGGTGACTTATATTTCCAGCTCAGCCCAAATGCTGCTGAAATTCTCAGCCATTCTAAAGATGCAATTGTCAAATTAGTTATGGCTTTCACCATACAGGGAAAAAATATTAGCATAATTTAATTCATAAATATGCTGTTGAGCCTTATGACCATATATGTTTATTATACTTCAAACTATAACTTATAATTGCAAATATTAGTTAAAATTATATAAATTGCATCTCAAAGTTCCTTCACTAATTAGTATTTGATACAGATTTACATTTTAAAGGATTGCTGGTCACTTTGTGAAGATTGCAGTGTATGTCTAATGCTGAATAGAATTGCTTTCACCCTTTCAGTTCTGTTGGATTTCTTTGGCAGCACAGTGGTTAGCACTGCTGCCTCACAGCGCCAGGGACCTGGGTTCAATTCCACCCTTGGGCAACTGTCTGTGTGGAGTTTGCACATTCTCCCTGTATGTGTGGATTTCCTCCAGGTGCTCTGGTTTCCTCCCATAGTCCAAAGATGTGCAGGCTGTGTAGATTGGCCATGCTAAATTGCCCATAGTGTTCAGGGATGTGTAGATTAGGGGGATGGGTCTGTGTGGGATGCTCTGAGAGTTGGTGTGGACTTGTTGGGCTGAGGAGCTTGTTTTCACACTGTAGGGATTCTATGAAACCAGCAAAAATTTTTCAGTCCTTCTATTACGTATGTCTTCTGGTACAGTGGAAAGATAAGTATTAACCAAATGATTATTGAACATCAATAGTGACTTCAGTTAAAACAGAATTTTGCTCTTTGATACAATGGAATTTAATGGCAGTAAAGTGTTATCCCAGCTGTACTGAGAGATAAGAATTCAATTAAACATTATTACCTTGGAAATTACCTTGAAAAGTATGGCATAATCCTAAAAAATGCTTTTGGTATTTTAATAGAGCTGCTCATTCATTAAAAATCGGTCTTTGTGCAATAACTTTCAAAGAGCACAATTTTAAAGGATCTCTATAATAATATATGAATCTGACTTGTTAATTCCATTTATCCTGAACTAAATCAAATGCATTAATATTTTATGTAGTACAAACATATTCATTAATCAGGTAATATATATGAATCAAATTGATCACTCTTGTGTGTTGTGAGACTTTGTTTCTGTAGCAGTGTCGAAATCACTTTTACATTTTAATATTTAAAATTGGTGCCTAATAAAAATAACTACTCTGTGTAGGGCCACTACTGTCTTTGTGTAACTACTTTTGTAGATTATGATAGCAATGAAAAATCTCAGGTAACTTTTCTCTTCAAAGCTGAATTTAATTGTAGACTTTTCAGTCCTAATTGCCATAATCAGGAAAAGGGGAACAAAATATTTTTTTGTTGAAACTGGTATTAGTAAAAGTGAACATTTATCTGTTAAGTTGTTGTTAAAAAAAGTTCCTGTCAATTGATTATTTCTTTAGGGAAGGAAATATGTCCCTGTCAGTTCTAGCTTTGGTATCATTGTCACTCTCACACAAATGTGAACGACTTCTAACTTTTCTCTGATATGGCCTATAAAGCAGTCTCCAACAGCTTCTCAGGACAAAGATGGAAGAGCAATAAATGTTACCAATAACACCTACACCTTAAGAATTATTTATTTTGGAGAAAAAAAACAAAAAAAGTACATATCTTAAAACTATGCATTTTCTTCTTCAGATGCAGAATACACCAAAACACAATTTGAAACTGTGGCTTCTTCAGAATCCTTGCCTCATTTTCTGGTTGAACCAGAGGATGTGTACATTGTAAAAAACAAACCTGTCACCTTGATCTGCAAAGCAACACCAGCCACACAGATTTACTTTAAGTGCAATGGTGAATGGGTGCATCAGATGAACCATGTAACAGAAGAGACCATAGATAAAATTACAGGTAGGTCTGCACTTATTTCAACAATTGTGAAAGTGCAAGTCAAGTTAGATGTGTGAAGATGACTGAATGCTTAATTAACTATTGTTTTGTCTGGAATTCAAAGACCGCAGGTGTAACTATTACTATTTTGCAGAAGCTAGATGCCTGTGTGTGTAGTTAGATGGGTGGGTGGTGTGTGGGCATCATGGTTACGGCTGCAATAATGTGAACAGTTTATCTGTGCATCCCAGATTGCTCTGCATGTGGAAAGCAGTGAGATCATTGGCTTAATTACTTACATTGGGACCTGGCTGCTTTTTAACCTTATTTGAATGGGTGAACAATGCTACCTTTCCCACTTAGAGCAGTTTTCAGTAAACCTTCCTGATGGTTGGTACAGATGGACCACATTTTTTGCAAGGGATTTTTAAGCTGGCTTGCGATGCAGGCGTTCTCATTCATACTCCATAAGGAAATCTTTGGCCTTCCCATCATCATCAGCAAGTTTTGTCTCTATACCTCCTCAAAAGGCTAATGTGAACAGTCACATGCTGCATTTGTCAATCACACAGAGGGGCTTTGTTATGTTCATCAAAACCCACTACAAATGTATAAATCAGAGCAGGAATAGGCCATTTGGTCGCTCGAGCTTGTTCAGTCATTTAATAAGATCGTAGCTGAACTTGATGATGGCCTTCCACCATTCTCTGGGGAACAGTGTTCTGCTATCTCACAAACCGCTGTGGGAACTGTTACCGATTTCTTCTTAAATGGATACTCCTTATTTTTAACTGCACCAGCTAATTCTAGTGCTTCCCTGAAGGGGAGACATCCTTCCAGTACCATTCTGTCAAGTCCCCTCAGGATCTTGTATGTTTCAATAATATCGCCTCATTCTTCTAAACTGAAATAGATACATACCCAACGTACTCAACCTTTCGTCATAAGGTAAGCCCCTAATCCCAGGAATAAGTCAAATGAAGCTACACTAAACTGCTTCCAATGCAGTTATGTCCTTTTTGTTTTAATAAGGAGACTAAAACTGTACAAGTTCTCCTAGATGTGGTCCCACCAGTATCCTGTACATCTGTAGCAAACCAGCCTTACTTTTATATTCCATTACTCTTGCAATAAAATTTCATTTACCTTCCTAATTACCTATGTCTGAATACTAGTATTTCGTGATTCATGTATTAGGACTCATAGATTCTGCCATCTCTTCCCATTTAAATAATACGTGCTTTCTATTCTTTTCTGCCAAAGTGAACAAGTTCACGTTTTCCCAAGTTATTCTCTATCTACCAAAATTTTGTCAATTCACTCACCTATTTATATACTTGTGCAAACTTCTCCATTGTCTTCACAATGTTTCCTATCTATCTGACATCTATAAATTTATCCAAAGTGTTGATAACGAATATGAAAAGTTAAGGTCCCAGTACTGATCCCTTTGGCTCTCCAATTGCCAACAACTTGCCAACCTGAAGATGACCCATTTATGAAGTCTCAAACAGTCATTCATATATTCTAATATGTTGTCTAATTCTGTGCAGTAATTTAGATGTGTCACTTTGTCCAGAGCACTTTCAAAGTCTAAGTGCACACATCTACGGCTTCTCCTTTATCCACATTGCTTGTATCTTTGTCACAGAACTCTAATAGATTAGTCAAACACCATTTTTTTTGCCACAAAACAATGATGACTCTGCCTGATTGCATTGATATTTTGTAGGTTCCCTACTAAAACCTCCTTTATAATAGATTCCATATTTTCCTAATGACAGTAGTAAGTGCTTTGCAGTTTTCTAATTATCTCCTTCCATTCTTGAATAGTTGAGCTTCATTCACTATTTTCTAATCTAATGAGATATTTTTTGAATCAAAGGAATTTTGGAAAGTAAAAATCAATTATCTCCTGTCTCAGCTGTTATTTCTTTCAAGACCCTAAAATGAAAACCATCAGGACCTGGGAGTTTATCAGGTTTATGTATCCGTAATCTTTCCCTGCTGTTTTTAATTGTTGTAAGTTCCTCCTTTCCACAACCTCCCCCCAACCTTGCACATTTTAATTTATAATTATTTTGGGATGCTTTTTGCAGTCTTTACAAGGAAAACAGATACAAAATGCCTCTTCAATTCATCCACCATGTCCTGGTTTTCCATTGTTACATCCCTATACATACACTCTAGAAGACTAACCTCAATGTACTACTTCTTCAAAAAGTAGAAACCCTTACTATTTGCATTTATATTTCTAGTCCGCCTTCTCCCGCAGTCCAACTTCTCCTTCCTAGTCATTTTTTGCATTTTTTTACTGTTCTGTTTAATCTTCTGACTAGCCATTTCTTCTCATGTAATTGGATATTTTTGTCTCTCAAGCTTCTTAATTTTGTTTTCCTCAAAAAATACAAAGAGATGTGTCCTTTCCCTAAAATCTTTTTCACTAGAATGTATCATCACTCAGTAACAAAACACCTCCTTAAAAGTCTGCTGTTGCATCCCTCCTAAAATAACTTATCAGTTCAATTTAGCCAGCTCCGTCGTCATTATTGCATTCAGATAAGTTTAAATTACAAGTCTTTGGCCCACTCTTCTGTCCTTCAAACTGAATGCAAAATTAAATGATTTAATGATCGTGACTATCTAAGAACTTTACTATAAGGCCATTAATTGATCTTGTCTCATTCATCATTACCAAATCTAGAAAGAAACATGCTTTCTAGTTTGCTTTAAAATATACTACTCTTAGCGAAACTGTCCCAGTTTCTCTTTGAAATTATCTTCCGGGCTACCTTTGTCAACCTGGTTCATCCAAAATCACCCATGATTAGTGCTTTATCTTTCTCACAAGCTCCCTTTGTGACTTTCTGTCCATTCTATTCTACAAATATTTTTACTGTTAGGCAGATTTAACCTACTCCCACAAATGGTTTCTTACTTTTTACTGTTTCTTAACTCAAACTGATTGCACATCTTGATCTCTGTCTATTCTACTGATGTGATCTTTAATTAACTGAGCTACCTCTCCACCTTTTCTTGCTTCTTGTCCTTCTGAAATGTCATGTCCTATTGAATATTCAGTTCCCACATTTGTCACTTTGCAGTGATGTATCTGTATAACTATCAGATCATGCTAATTTATTTCGAGTTGAAGTGTCAAGTTATCCCTTTGATTATGTTGGCAACATGCATTCAGATAATCAATCTTAAACAATGTTGTCTTTTAGATCTTTTCTCATCCTATAGTCTGACCTACTGATAGACACTTAAGTTTTTATATGCCTTGTGTTCCTACAATACTGTGATTATTGTTTTACCCCAGTGTTACTTGGACATTTTCCTTAAGGGCTTTAAACTAATTAGAATGAGGGTTTGGCAGTATATATCAGCATTTGGATGATACCTAGAGTGGGACAGAAAGGGATAATGTACAAACATAGAAAAAACAGAGTCGAAAGAAGAAAAAAAAGTTAAAAAGGCAAAGTTTTTGGCTCTTTATTTATTAATAATTCATTTTGTTCTGAATACAACATGCATTAGAGTAGAAGTATGATCTTATAGCCATTATGGAGGCATGGTTACAAGAAGATCAAAGTTGGAAACTATATATTCAGGAGTAAGTGACTTCTCAAAAGGATGAGCTGAATGGTAGGTATGGTGGCGGAGCTTTATTAGTACAGGATGGGATAAGTATGATAGAGAGACATGACTTCAGATTAGAAGGTGTAGAATTCACAGGGGTTGGGGTAAGAGATAACAAGGGAAAGAAGACTTGGGCAACACAGTGGCTCAGTAATTAGCATTACTGCCTCACAACACCAGGGACCCAGGTTCTATTCCAGCCTCCAGTGACTGACTGTGTGGAGCTTGCATATTCTCAGTGTCTGCATGGGTTTCTTCTGGGTGCTCTGGTTTCCTCCTACAATCCAAAGATCTGTAGATTAGGTGGATTGGCCATGCTGAAATTGTCTATAGTGTTCAGGGATGGATAGACTAGGTGGATTCACCATGGCAGATATCAGTGACAGGATATGGTGGGGTGGGAGCTAGGTCTAGGTTGGATGCTCTTTGGAGGGTCAGCATGGACTTGATGGGCCAAATGGCCACCTCCTGCACTGTAGTGATTCTATGAGTCTGCTAGGGCTAGTCTATAGGTCATCTAACAGTGGCTATACAGTAGGACAGAGAATAAGTGGAGGTTGAGGGAATATATTAATCCTCTGTGAATTTAATCTTCATGTCAGTTGGGAAAGTCAGATTGGCAGTGGTAGCCATGGGTGAGCATTCATGACGTTTTTGGGACAGATTCATAAAATAATATATTTTAGATCCAAACAGTAACCAGGTTATTTTGAATGTGATAATGTACAATGAGGGAGCTTTAATAAATAATGAGTAAGAGATCCCTTGGTGACCATAGCATGGTAGGATTTAGTATTCAGTTTACGAGGGGAAAACTTGGGTGAGAAACAATTGTTGCTAAACTTAAATAGTGGTAATTATAAATGAATGAGGGCAGAGCTATTGGAATATACTGGCAAAGGAGTTTAGCAGCCAACCGAATAGTTGCAGATATTTAAGAAAATAGTTTGTGACTCACAATAAAGATGTATCTCAGTGAGAAATGAAGGATTGTAAGAAAGGGCTAAAACAACACAGGAAGTAAGGATAGTATCAAATTGGAAGAAAAAATGTACAATATGATAAAGGTTAGTAGTGAGCAAAGAGGATTGGATAAGTTTTAAAAACCAACCAAAGATGACCAATAAAAACTGGGGAGATAATAAATTTTGAAAGTAAACTTGCAAGATGGACAGCAAGAGCTTCTTTAAAGGCAAAAACAGGAAAAGCGACACTGAAGTAAACATAGCCCCTGAGAGAATGAGGCTGGAGAAATAATAGCACAAAACCAGGAAATGACAGAGGAGTTTAATTAATACTTTACATCAATCTTCATGGTAGAAGACACTAATAGCATTCCTGAATGACGAACCAGTCAGCAACAAAAAGGAGAGGAAATA